AGTATCCATCGGCGACACAGTCCCATTATGGAAATCACGGCAAACCAAACAACCATCATTATAGACCTACTACCAAACCCTACAATCCTGCTACCAAACCCTATAATCCTGCTCAGAAACCATATAGGCCTGCTGTAAATCCCAAGCCATATAAGCCTGCTGTTCTACCCTATGGACCAACAAAAGCTGCAAGCAGATATCCTCCAACTCAATATCCAATTAATAACATACGCAGTAGTTAAACGTACTAAGTTGTATTGCTGACAATAATATGCATACAAAATTACATTAGGCAATTGTCAGAGGCAAATTTACAGAATTGAGTCAATTAAAGTTATCAACTGTAAATCAGAATTTATTAAATTTGAAAATTAAGTTTTTCAATAAATTCATTTAAATACATTCAAAGCATAAAACAATTCGTAATTTTATTTATTTAAACAAATCGATATCGAAGAAAATAGTAAAAATTATTACATTATTGCAGTACGGGAACATGATGCAATAATAAGGTGATGTATCACAACAAAAACCTTTGTTTTTGTCTCGACCTTCTGTCAATTTTTTCCATATAATATATCACATGGTTGGCAACTCTGCACATCGAATTCAATTAGAAATTACGCACTTTGACAGTTAATCGAGACATCAGCTGAGCTAAATGGACTACCTATTTATTGTGCCATGTACGGGAATATACCAATAAACTGGATGGACAAGCTTTAAGCAGTGTACACACTAGCACTGTTGAATGTCACTCTTGCCCAAATTTTGCTGCTTTGATAGATTGTTTGAGGTTTGCCATTCATCAGGCAACCACATGGTTATTGGACAGTCAGTAATCGATAACAAAAAAAGCTGTCACTGTCAAGTCCTAGTGTGTACACCGCTTTAATCAGTTTTTGAATGACAGTTTGACCCCAAATTTTGCTACTTTGATCGCGTTTACGTTTTACAATGGCTTCTATATACTCCATACTATGTTCTGATGGGCATTCGAACAACGTCGTTCGCTCTCAGAATTACGTACATGAATTAACCCGTTCATACAAAACTATGTCATCATGTCATCAGAGTTTTTAATTTCAAACTTTTTGTTTCTTGTTTCTTTCTTACTTTTCATTCGTCATTTTGAATTTTACTTAAAAAGTTTGAAAATTTTATAAATATTTTCATGCTGTCAAAATTAATTTATTTTCAATAAATTCTCTCGATTGTTAGGGATGGAACAAAATTCTTGGTTATTCAGAAAGTGATTCGAATTGAACAATGTACAAAAGTTGGTGTTCGGTCAGAAAATGTTGTATGTGGAACTAAGTAATTACTTGATAATTAAGGGTCGAACAACGAATCAGAGAGGGAAAACCGCTCGTCTGTACATGGCATTAGCTGGCTTGTGACAGAACACTTGTTCCATAAGCCGAGCATTAAAATATTGTTACGAATATAACTTTAGATTTAAGTTAATTTAGATGAATTCCGTTAATTTAAGAATTTGAATTGTAACGTAAATTTCTACTACGCAGTTTATTCGAATAACTTCACAACAACAACTACTGTATAGATTTTTCTACATTCTTCCATTTCCTCTTTCATTTTCTATTTTGTTATTGACGTACAATTCTTGTTAAACGTCATCATTGAAGATCGCTTAATTCCTCTTTCTTTGTTACTCCCTCGCCTGTATATGTGTTGTTGTTATTGTTCACTCAATGTAAGTTTGTATGTGTGTGTTGCATTGGTAGATTGTTCGTAATCCAGATGTTACCAGATCGTCTAGAAACTTCTGTAGCGACAGGCAGGGCTCTTATAAATAGAGGGAATGGCAAGGCAGTTAGTCAGTTGTGAATCAGATCGCGAATTGAAACCGTCAAGTAACGTAAAGCTGTAAAGTAACGTGCAAAGTAAAGTTGTGTGAATAAAATCATTGTAATAATCGTAATCAGAAAGAACCCGCGTTTTATTTAGTACAAACTGTGCTGGGAAATAAAACAACGTCTACACGGGATTAAGTAAAATCCAAGAACGTAACAATATGTTCAGACGCGTCGGTCTTTTGCAAGGTTCTTCAAATTTGAAAGACCATGTTCGGAAATGTTGCCTTCCACTTAATCTTTCAATCGAATTCGTGGCATTCCCCTTCGCTTATATATACCTTTTGAGCTGGGGCATCTTCATGCATTCTCACAACATGGCCTAACCAACGTAGTCGCTGCAGCTCGATAAGTCTGACTATGCCGATGTCCGAGAATAGATGGTACAGCACATGGTTTTATTCGATATTCACGGCCAATGCAGATCGGCCCATATATCTTCCAGAGAATTTTTCTCTCAAACACTCCAAGGGCTGCCTCATCTGCTTACCCAAGAACACATGCATCAGATCCACGGGTAATATCAGCGTCTTGTAGAGTGTGAGTTTGGCCTGTCGAGAGGTGACTAAACAGCATACTTAGACCATAACAGCATCTTTCAAAACTGTTGTCATTAGTTTTATTGATGGCGGTACCAAGGTATATAAAATCGTTGACTACCTCAAAGCTGTAGTTCTCAAGTTCCACAGTTGGTCCAAGTCTACGGGACGTCTTGGGTGTTGATACCATCAACTTAGTTTTCTAGTCATTTACTGCCAGACTTACATTTGCAGACTCACCCCTTGCAATGTTCGACCATTATATCGATGTCATCGGCGTAGGAGAATAACATTTGTTGTTTGGTGTACACAGTGCCATTTCTGTTCACTTTTTCCTCTCGTATGACCTTTTCCAGCAGGACGTTAAAATAGTCAACAACAAACCGTCACCTTGTCTGAATCCTCGATCGATATTAAATGACTCCGAGAGGTCCTTTCTGACTTAAAGGTAAAGTTATCATGCATAGCCGTTTTAAATTTGCAGGAATGCGGAACGTAGACATGGCTTTAAACACCTCTGAACGGATAGGGCTGTCTTATGCGGCTTTATAGTCGACGAATAGGTGAAATGTGTCAATGTGTTTTTCGTGGATAACACTTTATATGCGACGGGAAGGAGACATATTCATCTATAGTTGGTACATATCGTCTTGTCTCCTTTTTTGTGCACGGAACACATTATGCTGAGGTTCCAATTATTGGGCATGCATCCCTAGCCAAATTGTTTTAATCAGCTGGTGTATGCCCCGTGACCAACATGCTTTACTGTTCTTCAGCCGATTAATTGCTATTCTGATCTCATCTTGGCTATGTGATATACAATCCATACCATCATCTCTTATTGGTTCTGGGGTATCTTCTTCACTGCCACTATTTGATATCAAAAGCTTTGCAAAATGCTCCTCCCAGATCCTCAACACGCTATCTGTGTCTGTCGCCAGGTTTCCATCTTCTTCTCTACAGGTTTGGTGTTTTATTCGTTGGTAAAATTTCCGGACTTCATTCTGACTCCTGTACATCCCGATTTTCTCAATCTTATGTATTTCTTGTTCTTTCTTCATTTTTCTGAAAATACGTTTCTCCTCTCACCTTTTCTCTCGATAATTCTCCCCCGTAATACGTGTTGGTACTGTCTGCAGTTTTGTCCTATAAATTGCGTTTTTTTCAGAAGTATCAGAATCCATATGTGTTAGTAGGATTGGAGGACATGATGACGATTAATTGCTATTCTGATCTCATCTTGGCTATGTGATATACAATCCATACCATCATCTCTTATTGGTTCTGGGGTATCTTCTTCACTGCCACTATTTGATATCAAAAGCTTTGCAAAATGCTCCTCCCAGATCCTCAACACGCTATCTGTGTCTGTCGCCAGGTTTCCATCTTCTTCTCTACAGGTTTGGTGTTTTATTCGTTGGTAAAATTTCCGGACTTCATTCTGACTCCTGTACATCCCGATTTTCTCAATCTTATGTATTTCTTGTTCTTTCTTCATTTTTCTGAAAATACGTTTCTCCTCTCACCTTTTCTCTCGATAATTCTCCCCCGTAATACGTGTTGGTACTGTCTGCAGTTTTGTCCTATAAATTGCGTTTTTTTCAGAAGTATCAGAATCCATATGTGTTAGTAGGATTGGAGGACATGATGACGACTATGGTATAGCTTCCTGAATGTGAACGAGGCTTCGTTCGCACCTTGATCATTGTAGCTCCGTAATTTTCTCCAAGCTCCTCCCCTTACAGCCTGTTTTTGTAAAATTCTAAACGAACGAATTCGAGTGACTTACTTCTTGGTTTTGAAAAATATGTCATTTATTTTTGTTTTGAATCAAGAAACATTTTTTTACATAAATAAAGGTTTGGTAGTAATTCGTTCGAATTGTTTCGTTTCGAATTTTACAAAAACAGGCTGTTAGTCCAGCTGACTGTACGCGGATGGTAATTATGTTCGCAGTTACCCAATTGATATATTGGGCTTCCCACAATCACAAACCTGTGGACGCGATAAAATACAGCTATGCTTCCCGATCAAAAATATAAACTTAATATCGCTTCGACAGTGCTACTATGATTATATCTGCGAGGAATCAGGCCTGGCCTGTTAAGTTGGCTTTGTATGAAATGCCAATTTATATATCAATATCAGAGTCAAACTTGATTTTGGACGCCGTCCTCCTTTATTCTTTTGCAATAAAATAAGCCAACTTAACAGGCCAATCCTGAAGTACTCTTATTACTAAATCCACTCGATCTCAAATGTCAATCTCAAAATGTAATCCTTCAACATTTTTAATATCTTGATTTTAGATTTTACAAGACTGTCCTTCTATACTTATTATGAATCTTCTTGCGTTGAACATTTATTATAGCAATGTTGACTAATATAAACAATTATAACAGTTCATGGTAAATACTAATCACTTGAAAAACCGCAGATTTTATATTTATTATACGTTTAGAAATTCTCGATTTCGATATAAAAGCACATTCACATCTCGAGATCAATAACAATAGTTCGCTGATAATCTAAAGTCAATAAAAGAATTTAAAATTAATTAATACATTTCAAAAAGTGAATTTACAATATGAAAGCTATTTACTTCGTGGGAGCAATTTTGGTTTTGACCGCAATTGTATCTGCCAAACAACAAGGATTGCCTAAGGATAGAAGATATACGTTGCCTACCGTAGGGCCATATAAGCCTCCTGCAGGTACACAACACCATAATGGAAATCACGGCAAACCAAACAACCATCATAATAGACCTACTAATAAACCATACAACCCTGCACCAAACCCCTATAACCCTGCTCAGAAACCATATAAGCCTGCTGTACCTTTTAAACCTGCTCAGAAACCATATAAGCCTGCTGTACCTTTTAAACCTGCTCAAAAACCATATAAGCCTGCTGTAAATCCCAAGCCCTATAAGCCTGGTCAAAAACCATATAAGCCTGCTGTATATCCCAAGCCCTATAAGCCTGCTCAAAAACCATATAAACCCGCTGTAAATCCCAAGCCCTATAATCCTGCTCAGAAACCATATAAGCCTGCTGTACCTTACAAACCTGCCCAAAAACCACATAAGCCCTCTGTAAACCCCAAACCTTATAAGCCTGCTCAAAAACCATATAATCCCGCTGTAAATCGCAAACCCCATAAGCCTGCTGTAAATCACAAGCCTGCTGTTCTGCCCTATGGACCACCAAAAGCTCCAATCAGATATCCTCCAACTCAATACCCAATTAATAATATACCCGGAATTGAAACGTACTAAGTTGTATTGCTAACAATAATATGCATACAAAATTTTAAATGTTACGCCAAAATTACATTAGTTTATTTTACATGCGGCAATTGTCAGTTTGTGGGCGAGAAAAGTGAAGGTTTGCCATTCCATTCAACTCCCTCGCCAATTAAAATTGCCTAATGTAAATCTGGGCTTATTAAAACTTAAAAATAAAATTTTGTAATAAATTCATTTACATACATTGAAAGCATAAAATATTTTGTTATTTTATTTAGTTTTACAAATCAAAATTACTGAAGTGACTTCCACGCGGCATAATCTACACGCGACTTTATTATAATGATGGCCTGAGAATAAATGTTCTGTGGTGCGATTCTGTAAAGGGCTAAGCATGGCACAATGAATAGGTAGTCCATTTACGCAGCTGATGTCTTGATTAACTGTCAATGTGGGTAATTTCTATTTGAATTCGATGTGCAGTGTTGCCAACCATTTGAAATATTATATGGAAAATTTTGACAGATAATCGAGACAATAACAAAGGGTTTTGTTTTGATACATCACCTTATTATTGCATATGGTTCGTTCCAAGCATGATGCAATAATAAGATGTATCACACATATTTGTGTCGACCAATGTTGCCAACCATGTGAAATATTATAAGGAAAAATTTGGCAGATGGTCGAGACAAAAACAAAGGTTTTTGTTTTGATACATCACCTTATTATTACATCATGCAATTTATAAAGGAATATCAAACTTGATTTTAGATGACGTTTTCATTTATTTACATTAAATAAAGCCAACTTAGAGTCTTAACGCTACCAGAGAGTCTAGAGTCAGCGGCGGTCGTTTATCGTGTGTTTCTTATTGGCAACGAGAAATCCCGACGGCTGACGTTCACGTCTAGCGGCTTGACGCTATTTTTATTTCCTCGATCAATTTTTCTTCCATTTTATTATTAATTCGTTAAAAAAACGTCCACAATCTTTGAAAATATTTGTTTTTTTAACAGCACTGTCATATGTTTTGATATAAATTCTCATTGAAATTTGGTAGCACTGTTGATTTTTACCTAAAATATGGCAACTCAATTGAGAGCAAATTTGAGTACGACGCTGAGCAAAAATGACTCCTGATTTTGATTTTGATATTCCTTTATAAATTGGCATTTTATACAAAGCCAACTTAACAGACAAGACCGTAATCCTCGTTTCCCCCTTAAACTTGCCGTACAAAACTATGGTAAATGCAACAAGTCGTTCTGTTCATTTGAAACAATTTTTATAACTTTAACAAAATACGAAAAAGTCATGGAATGTCAGATTTTTGCTTCAAAGTCGAGTTATTTCGATATTGATTCATCCACAAATAAATAATTTCTTCTTACCAATGTTAATATACTTTTTTATATTTTTCAAAACATCACACACACAATCACACATTTTGTAGACGACTTTGACATAACAAGCCTTGAATATTATAACGTGTAACGAACTTCTCTTTGATGCTTCCTTCAATCAATTTTCCACATCGACATTTTTTCAGGTTCTGGAACAAGCCTTTGAGAGAATAGCACCAATCAGTCATGTATGTGTCTTCCATATTACACAGGTGAATTTGGGTTTGCAAGACTGTGGGGACCAAACTATTGTATAGACTTTTTTGCACCGTGCACTATAATATTATTTAGGGAAAATACCAAATGATGATGTGTAAAATAGGTGATATTTTAAAATTAAAAATAGGATAATGCATATTCCACTTAGAAAGCAAAACAGTCCACAGCTGACTCTCGTATGAAGTAGGATTATTGACTTCGCACAACAATTAACAAAATGGCGGAACTTTGAACATTTTTTTTTTTTTTTTGAAAACTACCTATTTTTTACCGCAAACTAATTTAAAAAATTCTAGAGTTAGAGTGGATTCGAATTAAATGAAAAAAAAATGTTGACACCGAGAATGGGATGGGGTTCCCTTTAGTATATATCCACATTGGTGAGGGGAGGGATGACTCATCTCCCCACGTTTGCAAGATATAAAAATGATTTTGTTAATGCATTGGAAAATCCAATTCAAATGCCACAATAGGTTTTGTCATCTTTCTAATCATTGCGGTTATAGAAGTACATACGTATATGAAAAAAGGTTATAAACGAAACTTGAGTGATCGCAATTAACTACAGTATCATTTTAAAATCGTAACGACTAGTCACTTCATTTGCCATGAATACTTTTATTTTGGGCACATTTGCTGCATTGATTGTCGTTGCAGTTTCGGCTGAAAATGATAAATATTTCAACGATAGAGTAGAGCTACTTTTAAATGATATACCAAAGAATTCAATTCGTACACTAAATGAAGAATATAAACAGAAGTCCTTTCAAAGGCCACCACTTTCAAGAGAACAGGGAAAATTTGCGCCATATTATTCCTTACTTACTTACTTAGCTGGCTTGTTACAGAACGGTTGTTCCATAAGCCGAGCTTAAAAAAGATTTCCAAGCGCGTCGGTCTTGTGCGCAAGTCCACCAATTTGGAAGACCACGTTCCAGGATGTTGTTTTCTACTTGGTCTTTCCATCTAATTCGTGGCCTTCCCCTTCTACGGGAACCATCCGTAGGCTCATTTTTATATGCCTTTTGAGCTGGGGCTTCTTCATTCATCCGCACAACATGGCCTAGCCACCGTAGTCGCTGCAGCTCAATACGACTGACTATGTCGATGTCTGCGTATAAATTGTAGAGCTCGTGGTTCATTCGACGCCGATATTCACCGTCGACGCAGATCGGCCCGTAGATCTTTCGGAGAATTTTTCTCTCAAACACCCCAAGAGCTGCCTCATCTGCTTGCGCAAGTACCCATGCTTCTGATCCATATAATAGCACGGGTAGTATCAGCGTCTTGTAAAGTGTGAGTTTGGTCTGGCGAGAGGTGGCCTTGTTTCTAAACTGCTTACTTAGACCATAGTAGCATCTGTTGGCCATCACAATCCTTCTCCGAATTTCAAAACTGATATCATTCGTTTTATTTATGGCGGTACCAAGGTATATAAAGTCTTTAACTACCTCGAAGCTGTAGTTCTCAAGTTCCACAGTTGGTCCGAGTCTACTGGACGTCTTGCGCGTTGATACCATCAGCTTGGTCTTCTCGCCGTTTACTGCCAGACCCACTTTGGCAGACTCCTTTTCAATTTGTTCAAAGGTGGCTGTTACCGCTCGCAATGTTCGACCCATTATATCGATGTCATCGGCGTAGGCGAGTAACTGGTGTTGTTTGGTGTACAGAGTGCCATTTCTGTTCACCTTTGCATTTCGTATGACCTTTTCTAGTAGGATGTTAAAAAGATCACACGACAAACTGTCACCTTGTCTGAATCCTCGTTCGGTAGTGAAGGGCTCCGATAGGTCCTTTCCTACTTTAACGGCTGACCTTGTGCCACTTAATGTTATCCTGCATAGCCGTATTAATTTTGCAGGAATGCCGAACGCAGACATGGCTTTAAACACCTCTGAACGGATAGGGCTGTCGAATGCGGCTTTATAGTCGACAAATAGGTGATATGTGTCGATGTGTTTTTCGTGGGTCTTTTCCAGGATTTGGCGCAGAGTGAAAATCTGGTCTATGGTCGATTTGCCAGGTCTGAAGCCGCATTGGTATGGTCCGATGATGTCATTGACCATTGGCTTCAATCGTTCACACAGCACACTTGATAGCACTTTATATGCGATGGGAAGGAGACTTATTCCTCTATAGTTGGCACATATCGTCTTGTCTCCTTTTTTGTGCACGGGACACAGGATGCTGAGGTTCCAATCATTGGGCATGCATTCATCTAGCCAAATTGTGTTAATCAGCTGGTGCATGCTCCTGACCAGCATCTGGCCACCAGTCTTGAATAGTTCGGCTGGTAACCCATCGGCTCCTGCTGCTTTGTTGTTCTTGAGCCGATTAATTGCTTTTATGACCTCATCTTGGCTAGGTGGTATACACTCTATACCATCATCTCCTATTGGTTCTGGGGTATCTTCTTCATCGCCACTATTTGATACTAGCAGCTTTTCGAAATGCTCCTTCCAGATCCTCAACACGCTGTCTGTATCTGTCACCAGGTTTCCTTCTTCATCTCTACAGGAGGATGTGCCTGTACCAAAGCCTTCGGTTTGGTGTTTTACTCGTTGGTAAAATTTCCGGACTTCATTCTGACTCCTGTACATCTCGATTTGCTCACGCTCACGTTTTTCTTGTTCTTTCTTCTTTTTTCTGAAAACACGTTTCTCCTCTCTCCTTTTCTCCCGATAATTCTCCATCACGTTACGTGTTGCTACTGTCTGCAGGGTTGCCCTATACGCTGCGTTTTTCACATCAGTAGCAATACGACACTCCTGATCGTACCATGGGTTTCTTGGTGGTGGTTTTTGGTACCCAATTGTTCTTTTTGCTGCAGTTTGTAGGGAGTGGGCAATTCTTTGCCATTGTGCTTCTATACTATTATCGGGACAAGAAGTGCTTTCTTCAAGCAGATGGGTAAGTTGAGCGGAGTAGGCCTCGGCTACCTGTTGTGTTTGCAGCTTTTCGACGTCGAGTTTCCGTGTTGTATTAGATCGCACCTTTGCTGCAACATTTAGACGGGTGCGTACCTTGGCTGCCACAAGGTAATGGTCCGAATCGATATTCGCTCCTCGGATCGATCGGACGTCTAAAACACTGGATGCATGCCTTCCGTCTATCACAACATGATCAATTTTATTTCTCGTTACTTGATCAGGAGAAATCCAGGTGGCCTTGTGTATATCGAGATGCTTGAATCTGGTGCTGCTAACTACCATGTTTTTTGCTGCCGCGAAGTCAATCAACCTCATGCCGTTGTCGGATGTTTCTTCATGAAGGCTGAATTTTCCGACGGTGGGGCCAAAGATATTTTCCCTTCCGATTTTTGCATTAAAATCTCCTAGCAGAATTTTAATGTCATGGCCAGGGCAACGGTCATATGCTGTTTCTAGGCGCTCATAAAATATATCT